ACTCTCACTCTCTCTCTCTCTCTCTCTCTCTCTCTCTCTCCCTCTTTCTATTTATCATGCGAAAGTTTATCAGCGAAAGGAAAAAGTTTATTTTTCATGGGTACTTTTGAAATGCTTTGTTACTTTAGCAACTATAAAAAAGATAACTTCGATTTACCACATGTATTCATACCCTGTAGGATAATCCAGAAGGTTATGATGATTGTAGTTACAATTATAGTGATGAGGTTATTAATTAAGATAATGAGAAAATTGAATAATGGTAATGAGAGATTACTGTGATATATTACTGAAGGTATGACTTTGAGGATGTTGAAAGGATATTGCATTCAATCCTGACAGGCATGCGGTAGCACTTGACGGTGATTAGCATGGCAAATAATATTTAAGTAAAACAGAGTTGTAACTCATAATAGTAATGCTAGCGCAACTGCACATGCTCATGCCTTGAAAATGAAAAGGTTTATTAAGGTTAAAGACCGACGATAGCAGTACAGTATATCTGGAATGGTACTTACATAAGTACCATAAAGAAGAGAAGAGAACAAAACTTCGAGAAAGGAAAATTGTCATTTATTTTATTTCTTCCTTTTCTTGCTACGTTTTCTGCTAAGCTTGAATTAATTCGGCTGTTCAAATTTCTCTTCAATTCTGGAATTTGGTATTTTAGTTTATTGAATGTGATATCAAACAATTAAATTTCTAATATATATGAAATGCCATTTTGCTATCCCACAAATGTTACTGTATGATTGTGGTTGCTATCCAAACTAATAGTCAATAAGTAAGTAATGAAGTTTCATATTTATATTCATTTTACGAGTATCTAATAATTTAGAAGTTGCTTGCGAATCGTTTTCTTCAATGGATGATACGGCTTTCAGATATTGAAATGCTCACAATCATTGAAAATGCATTTTTTCTTTTTTTTAGTGAAGATTTTGTTAAATATTGGAAGAAAAAACAGATTCATTGTTGTCAATGTTTTATTACAAATTGTTTATCCATCCAATTTCAATAGAAACATTCATCCTAGTAACAATAACTGCTGCATCTGATTTCCCGATATCACACATTCACGTTATGTAATCAACACATCCCATTATATTTCCTTTTCTTGAAATATTTTAAACCTGCAATTTTGTTTGTTTTCTTATTCTTGCTGGTACAAATTATTTTCCACTTTAATTCAAAATTTCGTTTAGAATTTGAATTGAACTTCTAAGATAATATGGTCATTTTTCATTTTCTTTTTTTTTTTTTGAGGGAAAAATAAGAAATTTCGGCTTTATTGAAATTCTCGAACAATAAGCATAGGACATGAATGGTGCGGGAGTAGTAAGGAGAAGTGGGCAAGAGAGAAGGGGCAAGAGTATTTCCATAACAAAAATAGAGGATGCTGATGTTCCTCTTGCTCTGGTCATATGGCGTAGAGGCTTGCTTGCTTGCTTCCCCGAGTTGTATCCCGTGGGCGGACCGTGGTGCCAGGAGGTGTTTGTTTGAGCAGTGTTTATTTCTAAACATGATAAATGTGAAAAATGTTTGTGAGTAGTAAGTAGTACGGTGTCCGTCCCGGGCCTCTCCTCTTCATGCCTTTCTTGACCACTATTTTATGCCTTATTTTCTATCTCATATTTTGTTAGTATTTGTCTTCTCCTCTCTCTCTATTTTGTTTTTGCCTGTCCCTCTTCATATCCATGCCTATCTTTTCCTTTTTATTTCGTTGCTGATGACCAAAATATATAAACACACATATACACACATAATACGTATATATATCGGGACATCGATACATATAGGATGATGGCTTATTAGGTTCAGATTGAATTTAGTTAATTTCTATCTAGCATATTTGGAAATAAAAAAAATTTTATTTGAAAAGTATAAAAAACAATTGCTACCATTCAAGATAGCAGAGATTCTGGTCATTTGCCTTGGTGAGAGTCATCAGGTCCACATTCACTAGGTTTGACACATTTGTCTTTAATAATAATCGACATTCTTAGATTAAGATCTTTTCATTCAGCACCAAAATGGGGCACATTTTATTACAAAATGTAATGTATCAATTAGTGAAAGACGAAGTAATTAATTGCAACATTGTAAATAGAATAATTGTATGAAAAAGAAACAATAGAACAATTTATCTTTGTTTTTGGTCTCTCTTTAAGACATCTCGATATACTTTTCATATTTACGACAATTGTTTGGTTGCTTATTGTCGGCCTTTTCATAAAACTAAAATTGGTAGTTATGTTATATTACTTTGCTATTATCATTTTTATAATTGTTCATTAGGATATGTGAAATTCAAATGACTGAACTCGATGTCTTGTTTTTTTTAGTTTTTTTCCCTTTTTTTTTAATTCCAATTTATTATATTTACCAATCTTTCAAATTAAACAAGTCAATTTTGCCTATTTGAGTTCCATACTCCGTCGGCTAAGGTCTCCTTCTAAAAATACTTTTTTGGAAATGTGCCAGTATTTGGCACACTGTTTTTTAGTTTTGTTTATTATGGCATACTAAATATATATCATACAAAGTAATATATATATATATAATTTTTTCTTTTAAATACTAAATATATACCTGCGTGGCTTCCCCAACATCCAACAGTAGTTTCTTCTACAGGTACAGTGTGCAGGTGGGATAATTCAAAATTCCTATTTTGAAATTTAGTATTTCACCCAACTTTTGTTGGGGTATAATTTTAGCCCAAAGGTGAAAAAGATATCGAATTTTTTTGATGTTTGCTTGTTGACTTCTCCCTCCCAAAAAAAAAAAAATCGTTTATTTAAGGTTCACGATGCATTTTGTTATTTTGGTCGCGTAAAATGGTCATTGGTACTATTCATTCAATTTCCTTTGATTTCAAGCCACTACTTTCTTCAACAACAATTCCGCAGCCATTGTTCAATTTGTTTTTGCTACCTGTCAAAGCGACAATAACTTCATCCTTTCCATACATCACACCTATTTTTGTCACACTATGAAGCAGGTAATTTATATATTTTAAATCTCGGAAATATACCTTAAATGCGTAAAATATTCTCTTCCAATAGTCCACCACAATGAATTGATCTCTTTCATTTGTCTTCTTATCATTAACCTGATCAACTTGACATTCCTGAATTGATACTTCTTATCTGTATCCGTAGAACAACCATAAGTACTACCATTTTTCTGAAATAAGAGACCTTTGTAATATTATCAGTGTGATATGAGCAGTTTTGTTGTGCGTACTGTGGAAGCTTAATATTTGTGTCAATTTTAGGTCACTTTTTCTTGCTATTACAGAAATACCCTTCTGATAAGAAACACTTTTATTTTATACTTATTACTTATGTAAATAGAAATTGATATGCTTAGATTATACACAGAAATTTCTTGACTCCTTTACTTGTTTATCCTTTTTTTT